ACAAGGGCTGTCTTCCCAAAGCCCCCAGAACACACTGAAGGGGGGGACATGGCTCCATCCCCCAAATCGGAAGTGAGTAGAGAAGCCCCAACCATTTTGCTGAGCGTAGAGGAACGTGGGGCGGCAGGGAGGGGGGCAAGTCACAAGAGGAGGATGGTGCAACCTCAGCTTATCAGGTGCGTTATCAGAAGTCACCACCCGCTGCTCCAGCCTGACCCTGGCAGAGCCCAGGACTGCAGCCACTGGGCCAATGTCAAGCCCGTAACTCAGCGATGCATCACAGAATGTCTTCTAGAAAACATTCCTGTCGGCAGCAGGTTCTCCAGGAGGCCGTTGCCTCCCTGGGCATCTGGTCCTGCTAGAGAAAGGAAGGGCAGGGTCATTATCTGTCAGACTTTGGTGAAAATGATAGCAAGCAAAACACTGTTAGGAAATCGTAACCCCATGGTCTTTTCTGGTTTCCTACGTGAAAAGGTTGATGGTGATGTGATCCCTGGCAACGCGATCCCCAGCGATGCATGGAAGAGGAGGAAGACCCTCAGCAAGCTCACTCCACAAAGCAGGAGAAAAATTAGACCAACATGACCCCCATCACCCCTAAAACACAAAGACAGGGGGATGGTGCCATAGATTCGGTGTTACTGGTGTCCGGTTCCTGTCCGGCGCCGAGAGGGTGAACCGCTCCCTTTAAAGCGGGAGGTGTTTCGAGGGGCTGTGGTCGGGGTCCAGAAGAGCCGAGGGGAGCAGGAAACCGGTCCCTTTACTGGGTGTAATGGCTCCCAGATCTCCTCCTTCCACCCAAAATCGAACAGAAACGCACAAATGAAATTTATACCTCTCCAAACAATGTTAACTGCAAGTGGTACTAATTAGTGCTCCCCTAAATGGCTGTGATTTATTTACCAGCTGATGAAATATTTACGCTAGAATTTTTTCTTTAAAGAAAAAAAAAACCACGCACACGAAACGCTATTTATTTATTTATTTTACAAATTCCTGCCGCTGGTCGTGCTGAAAATGTGACTCACGCAGTAGGAGCTGAAACTGGAGTGGCTCTTCTACCGAAAAAACAGATTAAAGCACAGGAAACACAGCTTGTGAGAACAGGCAGGCGCTTCGAAAGCCGTTTGTAACACCGAGTTAACAAATAACGCCGAGCTCGGAGTACGATAAATTCATAATTTTAAAATAATACAACTTCCCCCCCCACGCCTTGCGAGAGCGGTTTTTTCCGCGATGCTCCGCCAGCTCTTCTCCACATCATCGCTTTTGCCAAACTGGTAGGTTCCAGTTCGGTCATAAATCGCTCGATGTCGGCGGCGCAGCGGAGGAACGGAGGTGCCGGCCGTCCCTCGGCTTTCTCTGCGCCGGCGTTTGGGGAGGCGAATGCTTTCTAGAGCTCGGGGAAGCTCGGCTGCCATCGCTAATCCGCGCCTGCCTCCCCTCGGACGGGCCTGGCCACTTCCCTTCCCAACAAACCTCGTGGATTTTTTTCCCCCCCTCTTCCCTGCTTGTTTGCTTTTCAGAAAGCTGATTCAGCCTTAAAAGCCGAGCGGGTTGGGCGTTCTGCCTTCTGCCCCCGCCGCCTGGGAGAAAGGCGAATGAACTGCCATGTAACCGCTCGCTCGCAGCCAGGATGAGCCCTTATTTTTATTATTTTAATTTTTTATTTTGCTTTTTTTCCCCTCGCGCAGCCCGGCCTTAGCAAGGCGAAGGGGAGCAGCGGTTGACGGGGAGCTGCTGGGGTGCTCGGGGCTGTGTTTCGCACGCCATGTCCGCGTTCGATCGGCCCCGGCCCACTCCTGGGGGGTTTGCGGGGTTCACCCGCGTGTGGGGTGGGCAGGGACGGTGTGCTGGGGGGGTGTCGGGGTGCCCTCGCACCCTCCCCGGGGGG